GATGGCGGATATCCTAGCAAAACAAGGGGCAAATAGATCTTCATTGTATTGGGCAGAACTGTAACTGATTGCTGGAGATTGCAATTTCCTATGCAATCTTTAGCTTGTATATTAATCTCTCTGTTATCAATGAAAGATAAAACTGATAAAAAAAACATAGCATCTTAGGTATTTAGTGAACAAGTGGTAAACCCTATTGTTTTAGGTATATAAATGGTAGATATGGATTAGAAGATTAGAGGTAGGGTAAAATCGTTCTATGGCCCACTTACATAAGGACTTCTGCAGAGTGTGGCAAGTCAATGTTCTGAAAATTCTATGGCTCACTTATACACAAAATCAGATAATTAACAGCTGACAAGGGGAACCTAGAATTTTCATTACTTACTTCACAAACATCATCTTCTCCAACAACACCAAAAGGTACAATTTTGGCTCCAAATTTAGCAGCCATTCTAACAAACTCTGACTGGTCTGGCCAAAATAACTTGTATTCCTCGCCCTGAAAAGTTTGAGAAGCCAAGTATTAGAACTAATCTTGGCTAAACATAGTGTAATGATTATCAATGTGCAACTAAGGATCAGTTTGGGAAGAGTACAAATACAAATATGTACAGTGAAAATACAGGTTTTTCTTTTTTTGATCAATCAGTGGAAATACAGGTTTAGAAATACAAAATACAAGGTTTTGCACTGTACATATTTGTATTTGTACTCTTCCCAAGCTGAGCCTAAGTTACAAGAAGAATTGGGTACTCTCAGTAACAACCGATAGGAATGATACACCCACATGCACACCTTCATTTTGAAACATTTCCCCATACAATTTAGCCTAATGAACAAGGGAAAACGGTAGGATAAAGAAATTTCAATTTTTTGAAATCTTATTTGCTTAGAATTGTACCTTAAGTTCAGAAAAAAATAAAATAGTACATCAGCGATCTTAATGAAGCAGAAAGATGAATGAATAAAGTTTTTACCTTCCTATGAAGAGCCTCACGAATACCCCCTGGGTACAGTAGGACATGAGATTTTGTAGACAGAAGTTTATAGAAGTTTGTGGCTGAGACAGGAACTGCACCCATAATCCTGTATATGTCGTTTGCTGACGAATCGGGAAGGATTCCTTCAAAGGCCTTGCCAAACAACAAAGGATGTGCTATCCCTCGCACAAGAATGTTTCTTTCCATCAGCATCCTGGATATAATCGAACTCAATTCCCAACCCAGCAACATGTGATATCCGACAATGATAACTGGTCCTTTGCAAGGAATCCCTGCAAGACCCCTTACAATTTTCCCATTCTCCAAAGTTGAGAGCATCACAGGGCTAACAGCTATATCAAGCCATCTAGGATTCACCGAAATTGTGCAGTAGTGAGATCAACATGCAATCATTACAAAGTCCTGAAACAGGGAAATTCAAGGTACTTGTCTGGTAGAGTACAGGCAATAGTCTATTATTGACTGGGTGGTATATGTGTCCAAAAATGGGTCCATCCTGCTCCATCTTGCTGATCTGAGCATATAGAATTCTGACCAATTGAAACGATCCTGTCACTGTTTCCATCAGCATCCTTTTTTGTCCATTTTAGGACTTGCATAATCAGTTCAAGCTTTGGTTCCATGGCCTAGAAGAACTCTATAGTGGAACCCATCAAGTGGAAGTCCCACATCCATGCCTGTTTAGCACAATGAGTTGCTAGGCCAGACAGGTACCTCATATTTCTCTTGACTCAAATACTTAAGAACATAAACATTGTAAACTTAATTTTTCCCTTGAAATATCATATACCTGTATGATTCATATGCTTGTTTGAACTCAAAAGGAGTTGGTGGCACATAGTCTGAAACATAGTCAATGTGTCTTTTACGACGATAAAAACTAGCACCCTTGATGATAGTCACTAAATCAATACCATCTTCCTGTTTCAATATTGACAAATTCAGAGTATCAGTAATAAAGTTGCATGTAAGTTAATTGTATATATATCTACTTCTTAAAGCTGGTGTCTTGAGAGAACTGACAAAAACAAACTTAAAATCAAAGTTTCATTTTAACAAATCCATATTAGTCCTATATTCAGAAGGAAGAAACGAAGTTTATACAACTGAAGTCCATAAATTCAAGTGTTCTCTTTAACATAGAAAATACCCAGGTAGTAGGCTTCAGAGTTTGGCAATATTTTGACTATTTCTAGGTACTTACAAAAATTTTGTGGTAGATTTGGAAGGTTAATATTAAATGAAGAAAATGTACATGGTAGATATAACATTTACCACAAACTTTTTCTTCGTATTTTGCTAAAAGATGTGTTAGGTTGAAGGTTTTGTATGTATTGATGGTTCGGCTGATAAGAGTTCTTATTAGCCTGTATTTGAGTTTAAGTTGTTATGTACTGGGCCTGTGTTAATGGGCCCAAGTCTGTTTAGTGTTTTTAAGTTGTCTGGGTGTCCCATCACTAATCAGGGGCATCCCAATCATTTCATGTAACATTGTACTGTACTTTAATATAAATAATAGTACTGTCGACTGGGTTAGTTCAGTTCGACATTCACAGCATTTCTTGGTCTTCTCCTCTCTTCTACTGCTTCAGCTACAGCACCTCAGCTTTCATGGTATCAGAGCATTAAGCACCTTCCTGGTCTTTTCTTTTTTTTCTGGGTTGCTGCCATGAAACCCTAGGGTTGTAGGAGAACAAAACAAGGTTCAAACCTAGGGTTTCCCTTGGTTGTAGGGCGCAAGGGAAGTAAGACCCAGACGCTGATGTCCTACTAGACTGTTTCTAGTAGATAGTAGCTATTCAGCTACTAAGAGAGGTCTGTATAGGACAGACCTAGTTGAGGACTGATCTCAGCAGTCCTAACAGTAGCCATAAGGGGGAGAACTCTCTTTACAGTTGCAGTACTCAAAGCTCAAGTGAAGTCTGCATAGCACAGTGGTGGAGAGCCCTTAGTTTCAGGTCGGTTACCAGCCCAGAACMCCTCAYTTGCTGCTGTAACTGAACTGCTTCAGAACTGTGACAGTCTCGGCAAGTCTGAAACAGTGTTGCGAGCTGTCAGAACCTTCTTCAACTCTGCAACTAGTCTCTCTTTCAGCACTGTGATCACTTCGGCTAGTCTTAAACAGTGACATCTACACAGAGGCTGCAGTCAAGATGTCCTCAGTTTCCGGAGAGGTTTCTTCTAGGGACAACAGACCTGCTGCAAGGTCTTCAAATCTGGAAAACCCTAATCTGCACAGCTTGCAGATTACAAGTGTGCTGCTAGATGAGTACAACTTCAGGGAATGGTCCATTTCTGCAATGCTTTTTATTACTTCCCGTGATCTCACAGGCTACTTAGATGGGAACAAGAAGGAACCTGAGGTTGGCAGTGTAGAGTATGTTGTGTGGCGCAAGGAGAACGCTACAGTTATGTCCTGGTTGCTTGCCTCTATGACTCCTCGGGTTGCCAGGACTGTTCATCACTTTCCTACAGCAGCCAAAATTTGGGAAAAGGTATCTAAGACCTATGGACAAAAAAAAACAATGCTAGAATCTACAGAAAGAATCAAGACATTGCGGCCTTAAGGCAAGGGGATATGACAGTTGCAACATACTTTGCAACTCTGGAAGGCCTTTGGGAAGAACTTGACCATCACTTGATATTGGATTGGGAAATTGCCAGGGACAAGGAGAGACATGATAAGCAGATTGAAGAGAGCAGAGCCTTTAAGTTCTTGGCTGGCCGGGACCCA